TTCATTTCATGTTCATGTTCTTCATAATATAAGAAACTGACCTAAAATCATTATTTTGTATTGCTTTAGAAAAAATGTGACCTGCCCCTTTAAGAAAAAGTATCGGTAATTGGTATCGGTGAGTACTTGAAAAAAAGTATACTCGTCGGTACTCGTACTCGGTCTTTAAAAAGTGGTATCGGTGCATCCCTACATTTGGGGTTCCTGTACTCAGGATAAACAGGAGAAAATGATTTAGTAAAAATATTTTGAATAATATTATTATTAATACAAAATATGATGTACTAATCAAACTAGAATTTGTTATAATAAAGAATGTTTGCCTAATATTTCCATATAAAACATGTAAACATTTTTTTGGGTAGGCAAAATAATCACAAAGTTACATAGTCAGGTGAGTCAAGTCCATCGAGTTCAACCAATAGAGAAAAAAATAAAGATAAATAAATAAAAAGAAAACCTACATAAACAAAACCAGTGTTGGCATAGAGGAAGGCAAAAAAAAACCTATAAAGCATGGTCCAAATTGCACCAACAGGAGGGAAAAAACCCTTCCTGACCCCCTAATGTTCCGCATATCGACTTTAAAGAAGCATAGTTGTTGATCTTGGACTTGGCAGGGGAAACACTGGTGAGACGAAGATTGCTCAGGCCACTTTTAGATGCCCTTAGAGCTGCAGATATACCCTATAGATGGGGATATCCGTTCTGCTGAAAAAATTGACAAATCTTTAACCTTATGATTTTCAGAGGAGTTCCTGCTACAACAACCAGTAGATTTAAAAGAGTTAAATGAGGAACTTTGTACATTTTTCACTCTAATGACTCCCCAGGTATTTCGCCGGCAACTTTGTGGGAAACACATAAATCCGTAATGAGAAGGAAACTGATTGAATTGGGTACTAGGAAGAAAAAGGAGAGTAAGAAGGAGATAGAAGATCTGATAATGCAAATGAGAGAACTAGAGGGGCTGCATAAAAAAAATATTATTTCTTAATCATTTACAACAAATAGTGGAAAAGAGGGAATAATTAAGAAAATTATTAAACACTAAAACAGCTCAGAGGTTTCTATGGATAGCAGGTGCACAATATGAATGGGGTAATAAACCAGGCAAAGCCTTATTAAGATCATTGAGACACAGGAAGACTCAATCTTATATCCCCAAAATGAAATAATCAGCAGATTCTATGGTGTATACCTCTAGAGATATCGCTAGGGAATTTAAGGAATTTTATTCTGCATTGTATAATGTTTTACAAAAATCAGTGCAGAAAACAACGGACCATATATGGGAGGTGATATGGGGATATCTGGAGAAGGTTAGGCTACCTTTTACTCCCACCTGAATCTATGTGGGCCTTGGAAAAAGAGATAGAAGTAGGGGAACTGGAGAATACCCTTTCTGAAATGGCAAAAGGAAAAGCGCTAGGCCCAGATGGCTTTACATTGACTTATTATCAGACTTTTAAAAATAAACTACTCCTGCATCTAGCTAAATATGTGACTTTACTGACGATAGGAGGCATGTTTAGACCAGAAACTAGTCTAGCGCATATAACAGTAATTCCTAAACTAGATAAAGATCCCACGAGTTATGGAAGTTACCGACCAATATCACTATTAAACATAGATATTAAACTATTTGCCAAAGTCTTGGCCACAAGGCTATTGCCGTTGGTACCACAATTTATTTCTGGCAAATAAACCGGATTTATTATTGGAAGAGAAGCAGGAGATAATTTGTTGCGGACTTTGGCTGTAATGTCATATGTGAAACAACAATCTCAGCCTACCCTACCATTATCAACAGACGCAGAGAAAGCGTTTGCTATGGTTACCTGGGATTATTTATTGCTTACGCTACAACGTAATTGGGGTTGGGAAGTATAATGTTGAGTTGGATCTTTGCATTATATAAGGAGCCAAGGGCACAAGTGAGGGTCAATGGTATCCTGAGTGAGGGATGCTCTCTGGATAATGGTACACGCCAGGGATGCCCACTCTCTCCCTCACTATTTGCGATCTCGTTGGAACCTTTTTTAGCAAGTATTAGAGCTAATCATGATATTCGTAAAGGGATTATAGGAAATAAAGAACTTAAGTATGCAACTCATGCAGATGATATATTATTTTATATCCAACAACCGCGTATAACCATTCCAAATATAATGGCGGCATTGCAGGAATATGGAGAGATATCTTATTTTAAGATTAACCTTGATAAGCCGGAAATATTAAATATTAACTTGCCATCCAGAGAGGTAGAATCTTTGTATGTAAGCTTTCCCTTTAGGTAGCAAACTCAGAATAACAAAGGAATCGCAACCAAGGCCCCATTCACACTGAGCGATTTATCGAGCGATTTTTGCAGCGATATCGCTCATATTTCCACGCGATATCGCTCTATGTAGCTTCTCCAATCCATTTCAATGGAGCTGTTCACATCTCGTCGTTTAAAAGCGCTTGTAGCTCGTCGCTGGTAGCTTGTCGCTCCTACATGACCCTTTTTTCTAGCGATTTCGAGCGATATTGCTCCTGATTGCATACAGCCCAATAGGAAAAAGTTGTGCGATGTCGCTCAATATAGCTCGTCGCGCAATATCGCTCAAAATCGATTTTCATGTCGCTCAGTGTGAATGGGGCCCAATAGTGGGAAATACTCTGGCAGTGTGGGATCTATTGCACAAAAAATATGGGTGGAGCTATAATTCGCCTTTAATGCCTCTGTTGGGACATGTATTTATTAATGTGCTGCGCTAAATATTCTCCTAAAGTAAATCCACTGATTACACTAAACAGTGTCAGCTGCTGTGCTATAAATTGATAGATTGTGTGCAATGTGCTACTGCTCATAAACGTGCACAAACTTCCAAACAATGTGGAAATTATCATAAACATAAATATTCAAACATATTAATAATATTCAGTATGACAATATTCAATAATTGTCCTTAGTTAATCTGTATAAAGTGCTTTTGTGCATAATCCACAGTGTGACAATGATCCTCTGAAATAAAGTGCTCCTGACTCCTGATGTGTTAAATACCTGAGAACACACTCACCAGAGATCCATGACCATGTATCTCAATGGTCAATAAACATTAATGTGGTGAGTGTCTTTCATGGATGAGATAATCACTCTTCTGATTAAACAAATCCTCCTTTTTGAATTACATGGCAGGTGCCATTCAGTCAGTGAGGGGAGAAATCCAATATAGAAGAGGAATAAATGCGCCAAATAGTGAAGTACGTAAAATAAATTTAATTTATTGCAACAATAAAACACACTTACAAGATAGCCAGAATGAAAGCGCCTTACAGCAAACAATCAATCAATTCCACCTAAGCAAACTGGAGCCAGAAATCCACCCGCTAGTCACCTATAGTGTAACCTCAGTATGTTTCCTATGCTTTCCGACACATTTCGTCCCTTGACTTTTTCCAGGGAAGGTTCACATCCTTTGTTGGAACATGACTATCTTCGCCCTGGGTATTTAGATTCAAGCTTTGGTAAATGGATAGAGGAAGGTACACTGCGATTGCATCATGCATCAATAGATAAGCTAAACCCGATGGAGATGTTATTATCAAGGGCATTAGGCCCAAAGAGAAGTGTATCAGTGCAGGTTCAAGCACTGACTCAAATTAGTTCCCCATACGTTTCAGGGTTTATATTGCATTGGGAGGTAGATTTAGGGGTCCCCCTATCAACACAAAGTTGATTGAGGGTCTTACAGCTGGCACATGGATCTTCAATATCTTCCCATGTAGAGGAGATGCATTATAAACTTTTGTCGAGATAGTACCTTACACCGGTAAGTTTGCATTCAATAGGTTCTGGTAACTCACCATTATGCTGGAGAGGATGCGGTATAAGGGTGACAATGGCACATATATGGTGGCATTGCCCCATTTTTAGTAAATAATGGACAGGGGTTGGTAAGATCATCTCCTCAATATGGGGAACACTCACAAGTTTAGACCCTTGGGTGATGCTTTTCCATAATAATAAGGGGCAGTGAAAAGCTATAAAAAAAATCTATTACACCTAATTTGTTGAATCAGCAAAGTGGTTAGCCCCATCAATAAGAGAATGGTTTATGAAGATAGATCAAATATGTTCTATGGAAGAATTAATTTATGGCAGTAAAAACAAATATGCATGTTTTTGTGAGATATGGAGTAGATGGTTTATGTGACGGACTGAACCGTCACCAAGGCTGCTGGAGGGGCCTGAGGGCTAGCCTCCTTTCTACAGACCACGGACCTAGGGCTGCAGAGATTTATTACCCCGGAGAACTTTGTGTGCTGTGTGTGTTCCCAGTTTAATATTTTATCTAGAGAGAGAACTTGTCACTATTTGCCTTGATGTGAACCATTCTTCTAAAGGCAGCAGGCTGTCTGGAGTGACCATTGTTTGCAATGATGGGATTAAGCTCCTCTCTGATTAAGGACATTCATCCCAAAGAGTGTCTGTGCTTAAAAGACTTCTAATGCGGCACCTAGCTGTCTGGGGGAGGGGACACACTGCACTCTAATTTGATCCTGTCAGGTATAAACTCTGTGCGTTTCCTTCAATAAAGCAGATCTTGGTTTCCACCTCAACATTGGTGTTGTCTAATGATTGAGTGGTTAAACGTTCTGTCATAATATATTGGTTCTGTCCAATAATTAGGCAGGTTTGGGCCGAGGACACTGGAATTCGGGTTCCAGCGGAGAGGAAGCTGATTTCTGACGGAGGTAGCCAGTCGGGGTACCAGGCGGTCCGTCACAGTTTACATATAAGAACTCAGAAGCATGTGATTACTGTGTATAGTTTAAGCCCCCTGAAATTGCTAGCCCTTTTCGTTTAATGGGTAATAGAATGAAAGGAAGTGAGGGGTCATATGATGTCTAAGTTGATTTTTGTTTGTTAAGGATGTTTTGGTAAAACGATTTTCCTGTCTTTCCCGATTAGTGTGTATGCGTAGGACAGAAACTGATTTCTGGTCACGGGGATGTGCGGTGTCACCGTGGATGTGCGGTGTCACCAGGGATGTGCGGGGTCATGGGAAATGTGCGGTGTCACTGGGGATTTCATTGTCACCGGGGATTGCGTTGTCACCGAAGATGTGCGGTGTCACCGGAGATGTGCGGGGTCACCAAGGATGTGCAGAGTCACCAAAGATGTGCAGGGTCAATGGGGATGTGCGGTGTCACCGGGGATGTGCAGGGTCACTGAAGAGGTGCAGGGTCACCGAAGATGTGCGTGGTCACCGGAGAAGTGCGGTGTCACCGGGGATGTGTGGTGTCACCGGGGATGTGCAGGGCCACCGAAGATGTGCGGGGCCACCAAAGATGTGCGGGGTCACTGGAGATGTGCGTGGTCACCGAGGATGTGTGGGGTCACCAGGAATGTTGCTAAAGAAATCCGTTATATTTTGTTCTGAGCGATTACTGGAGACAAAATATGACGGATTTCTTTCGCAATCACAACAATCCTCCAGATGTAGTCACAGTTAAAAAAAAAAATCTCATGGTCACTCTGCACTGCCCAGGGGGAGGTACTAGTATGAATATAAATGAGTGCATGAGAGAAGCAAAGCACCATGGGAAAAGGAGTTTTTCCACTCCTTACATTGTAGATTCCACTGTACAAAGCAGCCTGGCAGCCATTTAAAAAACATGTGAAGCATGAGAGGACAACTGAAAAAGTAAGTTTTTGTGTTTATATGCAGGATCTGGATATGCCGCCATCATCTACACATGGTGTACATTGCTGACATATGTTGTTTTTTTTAAATGCACCCGCAAAGGTGGAAATGTCCTGTAAGACTAGAATCAGAATGTTCCCTGTGGCTCAGTGCACAGAAAAGAATGGAAGTGTGAGCATGGTGGGTCCACTACAGGAATCAATGGTGAATCTTTGATAAAATCAATGATTCGCCATGCCCAACAGCAAATGCCAAAGCTGGCTCAGCAAGGGTTGGTATAATATTTACCATGTTACAAATACAGTGACAATTACAGAGACCTGGAATTGACACTGGGGAATGGGAAGTCTAGATTTGTAACAAACAGAACTTGACACATGGGCCATGAGCGCGTTTTAAAACTAGAGCAAAATATTTGATGGGAATAATTAATGCCAAATAAGCACTGAATGATTGGCCAATCAGTCCTTTACCATTAAATAAATATGCCCCAAAGTATTTTCGCCTGTACATCTATTTTGCATGCTCTAGAAAATGCAGCAACAAGGCATTTAGAATGAACGAGCCCTTGTTCTTGTTTCCAAAAAGATTTGATAATATGAAAATATTAAAAATTGTGAAATTTGAACTATACAGAATGAAAGAGCCATTGTAGACATCCTGTTGTGATGTGATGTGATGATAGAGTTATTGTTTAGGTTGTTTGTAATAACAGACAGCAATGTTGTCTGAATAATTTATTGTTCCATAATACAGATATATATATATATTCATTTGAAATCCCCCCAAATGTTATATAATATTTGAATTGTGTCACTAAAAGTGATATGCTCTGTGTGCAATGCAATAACATTGTACTAGCATGCGGTCTAAGATCTAAATACAAAGCAAGGAACAGAGAAATCTTGGAAGCAATTCAAGTAATACAACAATTCCTCTTAACAGGAAATAAGGATAATATATATCTGTAATACTTGAATTGCTTCCAAGACGTCTCTGTTCCTTGGTTTTGTATTTAGATCTTAGACTGCATGCTAGTGCAATGTTATTGCATTGCACACAGAACATAACACTTTTAGGTAAAGAAAAAACTGTTGGTACATTATAAATACCGAAATATAGGAAAATATTTGTTTTTGATAGGAAAGGGATTATGGTGATTATTATTGGAGAACTACAGTCAAAATGAACCAGGCAAACAATGTTTGTTTATGTGTACTCCCTCTATTCTACCGCTAGTTTTCTTTTTAGATGGGCCAAAATCTTCTTCAGTGCCGGCCATGCTTGTGCACTGAGTCCTAACAGACTTGGATGGCACATGGATTAAGGTTGTATTTAAAGTTGAACTCTGGGCACAAAAACGTTCATGCAAATATATTCCTCAATAGCCACAAAGGATATATATCCACTTTGTGTGCAACTAATGCCTTTGTAAAGCCATAACCACAGTGCTGTGTATAGCCTGTAAAGAGAGCAGAGCTGTAGAAGGGGTCCAGTAGGCCCCACCTACTACAGGCTGCCTGCCAAGACCATAAGAAAAATATGATGCTTCTTGTGGAGACAGGGATGTCTCTCTAGTAGTAGTCACATGGGAAAAAATAAAAGGAGAGAAAAAAATTAGTACAAGGTGTGCTCCTAGTATTGAAAAGAGCGAGAATACAAAAATTACAATGTGGAGGTTGCTAGTGACCATGGAGGATGGTTACTGCAACCTGGAATGCGCACTTGTGCACAATACCTCTGTCTCCATGCTGGATGTGATTGTCAATCTCGATGCTGTGGGGATAACTTAATCTGAAGGTCCTGGGGCGTACATCTAAATAATATGTGTGATAAGTGGGAGAAAACCCTTGGTTGTTGTCTGCTGCAGAGGCACCTGTGTGGTTGTGGATATTGTAGGCTTTACTAGTTAGAATAAGGTCCCAGTGTTACAGTGAATCTTGAATCCTGATTAAATTAATGTATTGTTTTGTGACTCCAAGTCACTTATTCAGATATAAGGTGTGTGTACAGACATTTTTGGCAGCTGGATCCAATGTGACATTCAGTGACAAGAAGTCAGCACTGATTGTTGCATAGGATACAAGACCAGTCTCCCTGCAGAAGGAGAGAGAGCATCAGTGACTGGTCTTTATTACAAGAAGCTCCTGAACCGAAGTTTCACACGGGATTACAGCACAGATCTGGAAGAAATACACACAGGACATCAGGATTCAAGGAAGAATAGACATACTTCTTGTAGTTAGACTTATTATATTAGTTTATTCCAGAGTTCAGCTTTAAGTCTATGGGGCTTACTTTCTTTCTGGATAATGACTGTGTCTCCTCAACAATCACAAACACTCACTCCAGAGTTTGAAATGTCATTTCGAATATTTGTGATGGCCAACTTGTAAAAATGGTCCTGTTGTGCTAATTCATGTTTGTGCAAACTCCTTTTGATCTTATGCAACTGTTAGTGATGATTTAACCAACGGAATTTTGATCCTGTGATTGTTGGGAAGGAAAAAAGCTTTGCTAAATTTAAACATAAACTTTCACTCTGAACTTTGCCACTCCGCTACACCACATATAATCCAATCTTTGAGTCACCGGACTTTGATGATTTTGGGATAAATATCAAGTTGATGAATTACGTCAAAGTTCCACTGAAAAACTAATACAAGAAAATGTTTATTTTATTCTTCCCATTTTCTTCCTTATTAACCTAGAAAATAAGAATATACCGCATTTATCTAAGTCTGCCACTAAATGAAAGCTTAATCTGTCCCCCAAAAAGGAAGAGATATACATAATATGTTAAAGCTGAATTCTATGTAGGTGGGGTTCATCGGGTGATTCGTGTGTTCCCTTCCTGATGGCTATATGTAACCCCGTGTATAGCAACATGACACCTGGCACCCCTTCACTTGTACTACTGCGCACACAGGGCCCTCATGGTATCCACCGCCTAGGCAGACTCTCGGCGCTTCCTCCCCCTTAGAGAGAAAGGCCACCATGGGGAGCACCCTATGTCGGGCATAGCCCGTATTCACCACATACCCTCCTCAGGGTGGTTACAGCCACGGTTCCATCCATCGCCAGCACACTCTTTGCAGAACCCCTCTATCTTAGAGTTTAGAAGAAGTATCAGTCAGCACACAGATAGTCTTTTCATAACTTTACTTTAGGGTTTGTCATAATACAAGCTTTAAGTCATCCCCAGGTGGGGTGAAGGCACATTGCTTTTACTTGTTCGTTACTAACAGGTATTAGAGAGACGAAGTCCAGGTGAAACCCCGAGCCTACAATTTGTGGGGCCAAAGACCAATAGACAAGTATTGCCAGTATGTGGTACTTTCAGTATCCTCAGAAATCCCATCTTAGACAGCCCTGTCTCTGTGGCTTCCCCCCTCAGGGGAAGCTGAGGAAGAGTTGCGACAATTACATGGTGTTGGGCCTGGTCCCATGTCTTCCCATGGACCAGTTTCTATTAAAAAAGACAGACTCTCCCTATCCTGAGAGTCTACCCATGTCTCACGTTTCTTTTTCTACTCTCCCTCCTCTCGGGCGCCCCCACCCCACCCTATATATCAGCTCTCCTCGGTAACCGAGTTTTCTTCAAGACAGAGCTACTTTCATTCTACAGTGTCCTGTGGGGCATCTAGTGGCCTATTGCTGTGCTGCATATTGTCCACTATCCTACATTCCCCTTAGAAAAGCATAGTACACTCTTGTACTAGAAAACCTAGGACTAATTATCAAGGCTATACCCTCAACAGGAGTATCCCAAAAATTGCAACACACTGGACCTACAAGGAGCATAACTCTGGACTTCTACATCGACCTCCAAAACGGTTCCTTTCCCCCTTTCCCCCAAGGCTGGGCTTTCCCCCTTTCCCCCAAGGCTGGGCTGCACTAGGACACAACAAAAATAATCTTTACATTACCAACACGTATATTCATGAAATGCAATTCACAGTATCGTAATATCCTTTTACCCCATTCACTCCCCACGAATCTAAACACTTCCCGCACTTTAGTCAGAACATTGCAAATCCTTAAATGATGCAACATGAAAACTAATATTCACTGACAGAGACATTTCTCAATAAACACAGGTGAGACACTCTGAGTTTAGAATTTCAACATATTCCCACTTATGCATGTAAACATTTAAACACTTAGTGCAATGTAATTTTCATAACAAAACAACTATACTGAAACAGCACAGCAAACAATTCACCCTTCCGGCAGGGCATGGAATTCCGTATGTCCTATGGGGCATCTAGTGGCTAGTGTCCTATGGGGCATCTAGTGGCCTATTTCCGTACTGCATATTGTCCACTATCCTTCATCTAGGCCGATAAATGACATATGCAGCCCTATAATCATTAATATAACATTAAATGTATTTTGTAAATACAAGCAGTGTGAGTACCTATATTTGATGTGGTATCAATATCTTGCATCTATACTTGTACTGTATATCAGAGCTTGAGTGTGAAGGAATGTAGCAGCACAAGGTGTCAATCATGGGCTGACAAGAAGCATGCTAATAGGAGGAGAGAGCAAAGTGACAGAAAGATGAGCACATTACCATACTGCTTCTACTATCACTGTCCAATTACAGGCTGGGGTGGGTCCAGGATGACCTGTGCTCAGAGAAAGTGGGTTGAATATTTTTGACTATCAGACTGTGGGCATCTAGTGGGAGAAAAAAAGAAGTCCTGGCAGGGAATCTGTGGATAAGGTGAATATTGCACCAATGGCTGGGTTTGTTATTTTATTTTTTAATGGGCTGTTCATCTTGTTTTTGGCCAGAGTTCTGCTTTCAGATAGGCTGCGCCTGACACATCTCAGAAGCAGAAAAGGTTCTGGGACTTATGACAAGAAGGAGGAATGGCTGGTACTGAAGAGGTTAAATCGGACATGAGACATTTTCCATGTTGCTTGGTTCTCAGGGAGTAGTCAACATATTTGATTGACACTTCTTCTAAACAGCAATATTCTGTTCAGATATGGTGGGGTCAGGTCACAGCTGAGGTGTAAAGCAGGATAATGCTTCTCTGTCAG